ATGACATGCTGGGACACCACAGTTGGGGCTTGCAAGCCTTGCCCTGCCATGGCTTCAGATGGCTTTGTCGCGTTCAGATCCAGTCATAGGAGCTCAGGGTAGGTTTTCTAGAGGAAACCAATTCAATAACCAGAAACACATGAATGCTTCGCCAAACTTCCATTTCCCATGTCAAGGATTTCAAGCTGGCGCCATGTTGGAACAACCAGAACTGTTTCTGGTTGGGAGTGGGTTTCGAGTAATGAAACCACATGAAACCTCGGTGTTTCTCCACCCTCCGGTGAACGCATCTCCTTGGTGCGGAGGTCGCTCGGGCCGATGCTGAGGCAGAATGTCATGGTGGTTTTGCCGATGCTTCTCTTGCACGGGCCTAAGGGGTATAGAAAACCACGACCGGCACAAGCTGCAACTCCCGAATTTCCATGAAGATTGTGGATGATGTCATGAGATTTCTCTACTTGCACAATGTGTTTTTGGATGCCTTGTCCATGACACTGAGATGAGTCCTTGGACAGATCTTAGGTATCTCCCCCACGCAGAGCAGTCTTGAAGAAAAACCATCTCGAAAGCCATATTTATTAGCAGTACCATGGGACCCCTATCGATCTATAGCGGTAGCGCGTTTGGCCGCCTCCAGGTGCGGCTGGGCTGGATATGTGGACTATGGCACCTCATGTTCCCTTCTCAGTCTCAGCCAGTTTGGTTTGGAGGTTTTTCTCGCGACGTCATAGAGGCCCTGTGACCTTGTGTGTGAAGGTCCTTGGCTGTTTGAAGGTCTTGGCTCGCCGACTCCAGTTCAGAATTGGTTCCTGAACAGAAGAGGTTTTAGTCAAACAAGCCGGCTGATCCGACCTGTGCACTGCACATGGTCTGCTGAGCTGATTCGTTTCAAACAGGTGCTTGGTTCCTTCTTCACACTTTGCAAGTCACCTTTCCGAAAGTGGATTCTGGAGTGCCAGTTTCCAGAGTCTGCAGCAGTGCTTTGATGTGTTGTGCTGTACGTGGGGGGTCTGAAGGGCGCCGGCCCTCACGCACGACGTACAAGGCCGGCGCACGACGAGCTCGGGCGCCCGTGGCCGAGGTTCTGTGCCCACGATGATCTTTTGGGTGAAGGCCGCAGCCTGCGTGGATGTTGAGTGGACGTGTGTTTCTTCATCGGAGGCGATCTTCAGATCATCCACCTTGACCTCCTGGCCGTCGGCTAAGACGACCGGTGATGGTCGTCTTGCCACGTTCCTATTCAATCCTAAGAGCGAACGTGGGATCTCTGGTGATGGCCACGTGCCGGGACCCCTTGCCAGGTGGGCGACTGAAGGTCGTCACCCGTCACGTCACGGTCCCTCCCAACGAACGGACTTTCAAAGCGGACTCGGAGATTCGGAGACAGGGTAGTGTAGGGTTTTTGTTTGTCCAGCCAGACCTCGATTTCGGATGATTTTGGAAGGTGCTGGTATCCTTTCAACATGACGCCCGCGAAGGTGCTGGTCAGTCTCCTGCCCTGGCCCCGCCCTCGCCTGCAGGCCCAGTTTGGCTTCGCCGTTTTTCTGGGCATTTGCAATGGCAGCTCGACAGTGATGTCGATGTGGGGTTCTGCATGGTAGAGGTGTTCATCTAGCAAAGACCAGGCATTTTAGGATGGCAACAAGCTGATCTTGTTAGGGTGAATTCTATTTGCCCTTTGGGTGAATCCTCTCTCGGGGGAAGTTACCTTTACTTTATTTAGCGCTTCCTCAAGAAAATCCAAGACCAATCGAAGGAATGCAGTCATGTGGGACAATGGCTCCAGCACTTGCCTCGATTTCTTGGTCGGAATTTACGCCCTGGTGAGGCCTTGGTAATATCCAGGTGAGGCCTAGGCCTAGCTTCACAGATATCAGCAACCGCGGAGGGGTCTGGTATCAGTTCTGGACTCGATCCCATGAATATCAGTGACATGTCGACATGTCCCGATGTCCTAAGGATCTGGCGGCAGAATACTGGCCCCTCCATTCTACTGGCTATGTGTGATTCAGTAGGCAATTGCTCCATAGACCTTTTATAGAGAAGTTCCATATGAACTCGTTCCAGAACCCCAAGGTCCCTGTGAATCAGACGAATTTATTCACATAGCCTTCAGGTGATCCTGAAAAGGAACTTCCTTTACAATAAACAAATATCCGAAGTGCCAAAGAGTCTGGTGTGTGGGTGTGAACTTTTTGGGACCTGGACTTCCTAGACACTTTCGAGAATGCCAGAGTGGTTCATGAGCCTTTGAACACGAATCGTCCAAGTTCAGCTGAAAATAAACATCCTCAAACGTCCTGAAAAACATCCATCATCTCAAAGGTCATCCGGAAAAGGTCATCCAGCATCTCAAGCATCCTCCGCTTCATGACCTCCTTCAACCCTTCTCTAGTTTGCGAGAGAGTCGTCGGCGTGGACGCAGCAAGGTGCTGCCAATTGACACCAGAGCCCATCTGGGTGGGCCGTCACTCAGATGAGGAACATTTAAGAGATTTTAAGAGTATGGTCGTTTTCACCACTGCTAGTACAATGCTATTAAAAGTGTCCTGGGGAACCCATCGCCCTGGAATGTCCGCTCATGTGGCGAAACAAAACCGCATATGCCTCATGTTTCCCTACGTGCTTTGGCTCGGGCCGACGTCTGTCGAGGCATGGTGGCGAATCAGATCAGCAAAGGGAGGGCTGCACTGGACGTCGGCGCCCCAAAAGTCGGTTCCGAGAGAAGCGGACAGGGAGGAAGATGCTGGGACAGGAGGTCAGGAGGTGTATTTTTTTCTGTTTGAAGCCTCTTCCAATGGGCCGTTCTTGTATTATATTGGACTTGGCTCAAGGTTTTGGAGGTTCGGGCTGCATTTGAAGGAGGTCGTAAAGGTTCAATTTTGTCCTGTGTGTTCAAGCACTCAGTAACACATATTGACACCTTCCGTCCAGCAAGATGATTTCCAGACCCCCCCACCCAGACCGGGGTGGAATGCCCGGTTTGGCGGTTGAATTCCTGACCTCATGAGCCGCACCGGGAGGGCGCGGAGTTCAGTGGATCTGCAGATCATTTGGTCGTACCCCACCGTTCGGTTCGACTTTCTCGTGGGGATCGATGAAACAGCTCGGGGGGGGGGGGTCAGGCACCAACCGGTCCGGTGCCGTTGAAGAACCGGTGCGAGTGGATCAGCTGGTGGGAACGCCATAGCTGAGGGAAGGTCCACCTGGAAAGCCAATCCCAACCAGAAACAACTGGATGTTTCCCCAGTCCCAGCCATTTCCTATGTAAAGGATTTCATTTGCCATACTGCATTTGGTTGGAACAACCTGTTTCTGGTTGCTTGGGTTCCAGGCATACGTTTTTGTTTAAGTGGTTTCTTTTGATCGGTTCATGTGGCATATGGGTGGATATCATTCATACTCCCAAAGTCGATTATGTTTTTGGCGGTGGCTTGATGTTCAAAAGGTCAACAACTCGAGTGCTGTTCACCGCAAGATCTTGTGGATCCCACCCCCCTTTACACACGAGAAGATGAAAGAATCATGGAAGTGGACCCAGAACGTCCCATGGACTAGTTGCTTACATGGATAATGGATGGGCAATTTTCATGGGGTAAATGAGGTAAATGTACGCCTGGAAGCCCAAACAACTAGAAACAAATGGTTGTTCCAATACGGCAATTGAAACCCTTTATAATATAGTAATTACATTGCTTTATGGGGAAACATCAATCTGTTTCTGGTTGTTTGGGTTTCCCAGGTGTGCCTCTTCCAGTCCCATGGATGGTCTGGGGGGAGTACCACCCGGATGTTCCGAAGACCAAACCGGGGTGAACTCACGTCCATTGATGATTTCAGGGAGTTTATAGGTCCTTCCTGACCGAGTGGAGGAGTCAAAGCCTTCAGGCTGTCAATTCTGTTGCTCTGCGGTGAGAGTCATGTGGTGAGAGAACCCGTCATTCTCTCTAGGGTCTCATAATCATGTGTTGAACTGCAGCCATTTGATCTCGTGTCAACGTGTCCAGTGAAATTGCTGGCAGAGGCGTGCGGGGGGTCCGTGGTCAATGAAACGACAGCCTCCACGATGAGATGCATATATAGAGATTGATGGCCCTACATGGCGATTTTTGCTATTGCCATTGGCGTCCATAGGACAGGAAATAGCGAGCAATTCCTGTGGTCACTCTGTTTTGGTTTATCAATTATCCCCTAGTTTCTCACAGCATCTCCATGTTTCCAAGAGCTATCTGTTGAAATGGCGGACCTTTAGAAGTCTGTAGAATTTGAGAGCTTTGGACCTGCAACTCTGGCACAGGGCGGCACACAGATATTGGTTCGATCCAGCCATATCTTTTCTCGATCCGGTGTTGCTTGAGGATCTTAAGGGCCCATTGGCCTGTGGGTCGGTTGCGTATTTTCATACCTGGCATGCGTTCGTCGACGCATTGAAACTGAAGATCCTCTCACGGTCGGTTGAGCCGATCACCCTGGAACAAGTCGACCCATCGCCGGCCACTACCACCCTGGAACAAGTGGCCGTAGTGGGTGGTTGATAGAGGGGAGGGAATAGGTTATGGCACCAGGTGCCAAATCGACCTCTCTATCAATCCCAGATCAGGACATCTCTCGATCCGCACGAGTCCAGTCACGGCTTGGTTCCACGGTCAGCACGCGTCGGTTGGTTCAGCACCCGCGAGCTCGTAGGCCTCTCGCTTTGGCCTTTCAGACGAGCTCGCTTGGCCTTTAAGATCTGTTTGGATCTGTCTGGTTTGGGTTTATCTCAATGTTCTTGCTTAATTGGAAGAATCCAATAGGACATCTACGATCCTTGCAGTGAACCTTCACCCCCCCCCCAAAAAAAATAGAGAGATAAAAGAGCAACCCCTAGTGGAATCCACATGCCTAATGACATGCACAGGGCCCCATTGACATACATTGACCTATTCTAACGCCTCGGGAATGACTCCGAACGTGCAGGTTTTCTCCCCTCTCCCTACCGCTCGGCCAAGCGATTTGGCATGGCCCAGCCGTGGCGGAAAGCCTTAAGCTCCTCGATCGGGCAATCGAGCGGTCGAGATCTCGCGTGGGGAGTGTGTGTTCTTTTTTGGGGGGGACTTGGTTCATATACTACATATGGATACATATGGTCTAATGTATGTATATACATATATTAAGGAATCTCTACTTCAACCCCTTCAAGTAAGAGGTGCTTGGTGCATATCGAAGGTCCAAGAGGTCAAGAGTAGTTTTGGTGGATTTGGCAGCCAAATAACTAAATGAACATGGTGCATCCATTCCGAAACAGCGCCCTTCGACCGCACAGAATTCCAGGTGTTCCTCATGAAGAAAGCCAAAGAACGGATGAAAGACGGGAGTTGTGTGTTTAAACACTGCATGTTGTTTGATGTTGTTTGTATACATTGTTGATGTTTGTTCACCTTGTTCACCTTTTGTATACATGGCGGAGCTGAGTCAGTGTTTGGTTCTTTCCTCCGTTCGCAGTTCACCGTCACCGTCGGCCTCAGGAAGCCTCTCCTATGGCGCCGCAGGGGTGGGCGTGCTGGGCCTCGGGCAAGCGGCCCACCTCCGTCGCCGGCCCGCAGCCGGTGGGGTGAGGAAGCCAATGGTTTGGAGGTCGACCTGGTGAGTGGCGTTGGGGATGTTGAAGGATTCTTTAACCCAGGGCATCCAGGCAGTTCCCACGATGTCGCTGGTCACAATACAAGTGGTTCCAGTTCGACTAAAAGATACAAAAACCAGATTGACCGGTTCCGAAGCCCTGGTTCCTTAAGTACCCGTGGTTTGCCTGGGATGCACCGGGCAAGGCGATCGCCTGCCTAGAGGCAATCCCGGACCTTTTCGATGCAGGAAAAGGGGAGGACTGGACCCGATGCCCAGTCGATTTGTTCCAACTGATCCCAACGGCGAATGTGGATTAGGGCAAAGACCCCTCAAAGACCCAAATAGAAGAACCCCAAAACTCAGACTAAACTATACTAAACCCAATTCTGATGGCCTCCCCTTTATTGAACTACCCCAGGTTCTGGTCCTTCCTGATCGATGTCCACTTTTGCTCGGCTGGCGGTCGGTGGGCCCCGTCCAGTGCGGATGTGCAAAAGATCGACATGAAGAGGTCGAAAAGGGCCAGAGCTTATGCTAGACCCATCTGGGACTATCATGGACTATCTACCCAGTTGGCAGTTGGTGCTTGAAAAAGGTGCCTTGACCAGTCCCATGGAGTGTTTGGGAGATGGTCCAGGGAATTTAAGGTATAGTCTCTGGGCTATGTAGGGCCATAGGCGGCCATAGGGAGATATAGGGCTATAAGTATAGGGCTAATTACTCTGATTTGGCCGCACGTCGCATGTTTGCTCGATCTCCAAGTTGAGAATCGACTGGATCCAATCCGGACGAGATATGTACAGCATCGTCCCATCGAAATTCTGAGGCTACAAGTATCAATGCCCAGGCGGGGCTGGAAACCACGGGTCGGGGCTGTTTTCCCCCTCAAGGAAGGAAGTGGACTAAGAAGATCTTTCCGGAACGGACCAACCCGCCGAACCGACCGGGCAAAACGCCACCCGCCTTCCGCTGCACGGAGTCGGTGGGTTTTCAGCTGAAATATGCAGCTGAACCGGTAGGCCGGTAGGTGTCCATCCAGATTTGAGGGTCGGAGTTCACCTTCAACCACCCACGGACTTGCTCCATATGTTTCGTTTCGTTTTCGTTGAAACCACCCACCCACGTGCTGGCGAGTCAATCGAGCCGTGAGGCTCCAGTACCTTCCTTTCGGTGCGATGGGACTGGGGGTCCAGACCGAACCTGAGGAGGTACGACTGGAGCTGAAGAAGGGTCATATTCTCAGGTGACCGGCGCTCTTCCGCCCTCCCGGCCGCACTGGCGCCGTGGCGCCACGAGTCCGTCAAACCCCATGACACGACTCCGGACTGCCAGTGCCGTCGACGGCCCGACGGGGTGGTCGAAGCCGGCGGGTTCACTTCGAGGCTTTTGTAGGCATATATGGTCATATAACTCCATTCACTTATAGAGTCTTTCGAAGTCCAGTCCGACTGGCAGTCTCATGGGTCGTGCAGTACGTCGAGCCGAAACAGCGCCGACCCGGCGGACCCCGCGAACGAAACGCTCGGAAACGCTCGTCCCAGGAGAGCCGAGCGGCGCCGTGCACGGCCAAGTAGGAAGCAATTATCAAGGCCGGAACCAGGGCGAGACGGGCGGTGGACAATTGGTGGGCGTGTTTGCCTGCTTGGTTGGGCCGTTGGTTGGGGCGTTGGTGGGTTTGGTTCCGGGAGTGATGACGCAGGGTATCTCTATTCAGGTATCTCTGACGGTGACGTTCGAGGAGTCTCTGGGCAGCGTTGAAGGATCGAAGCTCCATCGACGTGAAAGAGACATGCAAACATAGAAAGAGACAGCAGGCCTGAAAGCTATAGACTCTATAGACCTTCCAACTGTGCAGTGATGTTTGCCTATGAAATGGCAGACATGTGGGGAATCGTGGGAGGATCTCGGAAGTGAATTCACCGAGGAGGACGAGTCCGGTGTGCCTGCTTGTCCCTGAAGAACGTTGCAGGAAAGCCTCTAAAGCTCCTCTTCGTCGGCGACTCCATTGCGGTGACTTGGGAGAAACGTCGACGCGACGGATTGCGACGACGGAGTGGAATGGAGTCATCCTTCAACCGGTTTTCTGCATCAAAAGAGCATGAGCATCCATGAGTACATACCCAAGCACTCCATGTGTGGCCTATTATGGTATATCATTATCTATATATAATTTACATACATTGACATTGGGGGTGGCTTCACGGGTGAGTGTAGGTAAAATGCCTGTCCCATGAAGCCTCTGGGATATAATTCTAAAAAGTGTTCTCCTATCTGGACCAGCACCGTGGATGGTTTCTTCTACAGCTCCAGACAAGCAGTGCTATATCTATATTCATGCTATTATTAACTCCTGTCATCCACGTTTGCAAACTAAACAGCAGACTTGAATCATTTTTGAAGGCCAGTCTTGTAAACCTTGCATTGTGTATGCGTGTCTTACCAATAATAAGTGTGACACGTCCTTGTCTCACGTGAGGAAAAATGCATTCATTACTCAGCCAACGGGTGCCCAATGAAGGCCTATGAGTAGGGGCTGGGACACCCCGACAGGATGGTCCTGGCACATTGCTCAATCCAATACTGTGACACCTGGTTGATCCGTGTTGGGGCGGTTCGGACATTTGTCCTCTGCTCCGCCATGCTCCGCCCCTCAGCGAGGTGGGCGTGGGCGCAAAGGCAGCTGCACCTTTGCAGGTGCTGCGTCTCGTGGGCGCTTGCATCGCGGTCTGGGGAGTTGCGCGGCCATTGAGATTCGTTCAGAACTCTTTCAGTAGCTGAAAGGGCTGAAGGGGAAGCAACATCACCCAGACAAGTCAGAGAAGAAAGATGAAGAAAGAGAAGACCCCGGTCTTTCGGACCAGGTAGCCAGCTTGGGGTAGCCAGCCATCTATCAATGTCTATAATGTAAACTCCTTTGATTCTTGATTCGATTTCACACTCGTAAGCCAACATGTAGCAGTTGGTTCGGGTCCAGTGCCGCCTTTGAAACGAAGAGTCTACACACTGCGTCCTCTTCGACTTTGGACGCCAGGCTGCCTGCGCCCAGCGCCTCAGCAACTTGCAGCGCCGCCCCGTGGAGTGGCGTACCGTGGCGCAGAACGGCGCGGACGTGAGGGAGCTGCAGGCCTTGCTGGACCAGCCCGAAGGCCGGTCACCGATCACCAAGGGTGGTGGTGTGTGGTGTGGTGCTTTGGACGGTTTGGCCGCGTGGACCGGGCAAAAGATGATCAACATATATCAGCTAAGTGTCGACGAGAGACTTCCCTTTTGACGGGTACATGTACTAGATATTCACTCAATCAATGTATATGCATGCAAGTACACGTTTGGTTGGGCCAATCCTCTATCAGTTGTTGAGCTGGTTGTTTCTAAGAACTTCTCATCTTCTCCTTCCACCGACCTCCACCTCCGCAGGTGGCGCCAAGGTGATTGACCTTGGCTTTGACATCGCCGTGGTGCTCTGTGGAGTGAACGACGGTAAGAAGTTCTGGCAAGGCGCAGCGGGGTCCGCACGGTGGCGTCGCGGCGTCCCTCGGCCGTCTCGCCATGGGCGTTGTGGGGCGTCCCTTCTGCGTGGTGAAGAACTCCTGTCCTCCTAGTCCATGACTCAATGACGGCGCCCAGGTCTTGGTTTTCAGTCTCCAAGAGAAACTTTTGGTCTTTTCCTGAGTTTTGGGCTCTGAATTCACGTGCAGCCCTTCAATGCATATTAGTCGTATTGCCATGGCACCGTTCTTTGAATCCAAGGGTCCTGTGGATTTGCTCCAAGAACCTGCGCCCACCCTGGTTGATGCGCGCGCAACCCTGCGCCATCAGCGCCAAGTATTCCATCTTCCTCCACAGAACGACCGAGATGTTGCCGAGATGATGAACGCTCGTCGTTCTTTCGCCAACCGATCAACTATATTTCTTCATACGCAGCACTGGGTGTCCCAGGAAACCTGTAACAGTCAGTAAGCATGTTTTCGTCACTATTTTAGAGAATGTATATACTGACCATTATCAGCCACCGTTACAGGCAATGAGATATAATGAAAACCTCCGATTAATAACCCCCCCCCCACATGGTAGGTAAACAAGGTCAAGAAGGTATGAGATACCACTCATGAGGTCCACCTCCCCTGAATTATCGGCTCAGGGAGCCATCGAAGTCGCAGTCGTCGTCGGTAGTAGGTAGTACGTAGTAGGTAGTAGGTAGTAGTAGGTAGTAGGTAGTAGGTAGTAGGTAGTAGTAGGTAGTAGGTAGTAGTAGGTAGTAGTAGGTAGTAGTAGGTAGTAGTAGGTAGTAGGTAGTAGTAGATAGTAGTAGGTAGTAGTAGGTGGTAGTAGGTAGTAGGTAGTAGGTAGTAGTAGGTAGTAGTAGGTAGTAGGTAGTAGTAGGTAGTAGTAGGTAGTAGGTAGTAGGTAGTAGTAGTCACAACAAGCTTAAACAAGTACAAAGAAAAGGCCAAGGACACAGGATCAAATTAATAGGGGGTAGTAGTGCAGATTATTGATGGGGGACCGGCCCTTGTGAGGGGTACCCTTTGTGAGCTTGTCAAATGATTGTTTTTAATTGTTTTTAAATAAGGCAATTTATAGGCCCTGAGCCCTAGACATTTTTAAGGATTTCATCAAACATGTAGTAGGTAGTAGGTGGTGATGGTGGTGGTGGTGGTCGTGGTAGTAGCACGTAGCAGCAGCAGCAGCAGCAGCAGCAGCAGCAGCAGCAGCAGCAGCAGCAATAGCTAGTACTAGTAGCAGTAGCAGTAGCAGCAGCAGCAGTAGCAGTAGCAGTAGCAGTAGTAGTAGTAGTAATACGAAAAATTGACCTGGTTGTGGGCTCGGATTAACTGGGGGGGGGGGTTCTGATGCCCAACTAGAAAATTAGGGAAGGGAAATAGGCACGAATAATACTTTTAATTTGGTGGGCTTGTGTCTTCGGATTAACTAGGGGAGGTTTATTAATCGTAACTTTGCATTACATACTTGGCAGCACCCCGGTCACAGCAGCCACATCATCATCCATGATGCCCCGAAACTCGATCTCCAGATCTCACCCAGATCTGCACCCAGACCTTGCACCTCCTCCCCTTCCGTTCGACCCCTTCAGAATCAACCAACCTCTCCATCCTCCGGCCTCAACGAGGGCTCCCCCCCGTGTCCAGGCCGCTGGCCCTCTCACTTCCGGGAGGCGAGACGACCGATCCGCTGCCGCGACCGGTCCGGCTCGAGGGCCTTGGACGACTCGAAACGGATGGGTGGATTCAGAGATTGGTAGTTGATGTCATAGGGAATACACCATGTTGGATGGCACGGCACTCGCAGGTTAGGACCTGTGATAGGCCATCCTTTTGTGAGCTATAGTTGGGAAATGCCATCTAAAGTGTGATTCCCTATAAGTTCTCTTCAACCTCTGGGATGATTGAACCTACCGAGAACTACTGACTCATGTTATGTTGTTCGTGAGTGAGTTGAGACCACCAAGCAAGAAGAGCTCTGGAGGAGCACTCTAGTTCTAGCCAGTCACCCTTAAAGGCCAAGTCCCAGTCGAACTGAAGAGCTCTGAACAGCTTCGTCGGACCATGATTTGAGCAGGAGGAGACATTGTTGTTAAGCCAGAATTTGGTGTGTGAAACCTGGTCATACCTGGCCCCAACCGAGAAATTCATGCAAGATTTGTAGCACACGCGGCCCTCCATGCTGTCCAGTGTCCAGTACAGTAGCCTGGAAGGCCGCTAGACCTCTTGAGACTCAAGGGGAAGGGACCCAGAAATCATCAGAAGCGGAACCGGCTTTCTGTCATCAGAAGCCTTTGTTCGTTTCGAGATGACGAGACGAGATGACTCACCAGATGCCAGGTGCGTGCCAGGTGCATGCTTGATCACCATGCTGACATGCGAGAGCGATTCTTCAAAGGGACCTTTTTCCTAAGTGATTTTGGACATGATTTTGGTAGTGGAACGGTCCATTCTTGGTCCTTTACATTTGGCCAATGGTGTCAGAAGACGGCTGAATTTCTTTTCATTCCAGAGTGGGAGGACTTGACTACTTTGAGATGCACTCCTTACTCCAACTAACCTTGGCAATCGATTGCCAGGGAAACACAACAAAAGCGTAGCATGCAGAAGATTCAGAAGATGTGAAGCTCAAGAAGTCTGTTTCAAAGGCCCCCCTGAAGGGGACACATATGAGATACTTAAAAGGGAAAAGCATGCGTTTCTTCTTTCTCGGAAAACTGTAGACGTTCAAATGTGTGAAGAAGTCCACTTAGAAGAATATATAGCATATACATATAACAAAACACATGCGATATTCTTGTTCTTCCCCTTTGTAATATATATATATACATATTTCTATATTGCTTATTTATGTGTAAATAAATATGAATTATGCCTGAACATGGTGCTCTCCTCCAAGTTCGGCCCAGTTTGGCAGGGGACAGAGGACGACACAGCTCCAGAGCAGCTCCAGGATCTCGCCGAGCTGGTGCGCACCCTCCGCACCAAGGGAGATCCGGAGAGCGTCATCACGGTGCCCAACCTCCTAGGCGATGTCATCACGCGCCCGGGGCGGCTCCGGTGGATTTTTCCCAAGGTGATTCAAGGAGTGAAGTCAAGACTAGAGGTTTTCACCTACACAAAATGTTAGCATATATATACTATATGTTACTATATGTACTTACGGTTTGATCCTGAATTTGAGTAGGGGGTTCTTTTTCACATTGCAGGTGTTCAACGGTTTTCGGTCTTCTGGATGATTTTTTCTTGTTTGGGTAGATGCACTGTTGGCATTTCGCTGCGCGGTTTTGTTGTGGCGGTGTTGGACTATTTCGGCTGTGTTCCCAGGAAGGCTTGTCAAGCATTGATGCATGGATGTCATGGGGTTATTCTTGAAAGGTTCGTGATCTTTAGCCAAAAGCAAGGGCCCGTTCCACATGGGAAGTTCAACATAGAACGTGACAATTGACCGCTGGAAGGCCCTTTCCCTCTACAAACACGTTTTTCAGGTTCTATATGTTTAACTTCCCCCAGTCCACGCGTGCGAAGTCTCCTATCCAAGACACGTAAAACAGGACTGGCATATAGGGGGGTGGTTCAAGAGGAGATAAAAGGGGGTCAAACTAGGCAGACATTCCAGTCCAGAGTATTTGGGTATCACTTTTTCTGGTTCATGGCCTGGGGCCTTCCTCTCCAGGCCACGTGGAAGCACCGCTCTTCCAGTTGTGGCCGATGTGCCATTTGGTGGATGTGCCCTGGCGTAGTATCTCAGGGCGCCTTTCGCCTTTCTCTTACACATACAAATCAGAACGAGAACACGGAGAAACACGTCGTTTCCAAACGATGACCGGACCGCGTCCAGTGGTGGGTTGTTTGGCTCCGAATGAAGCCACTTGATGAAGTAAATCGATTTGGTTCCATGGATGGTGAGTCCCTAATTCAGACACCTGGAAGACATGGAGACATTTCACATTAGAAGGCAAAACTATCTGGCTGAGTGCTTGTTCTGCATCCTTTTCGCTGGTTCTGCATCCTTAGGGCCGGAGGCGTTCAGAGCATTGTCCCTTTGGGCTTGTGGATGTGTGGTCTTTGCCAGTTCCCAAAAGGCTTCTAGAATCCTAGAAGAGAAGAGGCGATGCTTTCACGATCTAAAACGACTTCAACCAGTGAGTAAGATACCCTTGGTTTTTGGTTGCTCAGGTGGAAGGGTCCAGGGCACCTCTAGGTTTTTCTCATGTAGGGACCGAGTTTTCTGACCTTCTCCAGTCCGGTTGCCCCCTCACTCCTTTTCCCAAAAAGAGTCACAGTGTCGAGCATGGCAGACAAATCTCGGCCGGTCCTTGTGCAGACAAATCATGCTTCCGTCATCGGAAAGTCTTGCGGGGGGCACTGTGAGCTCGACATTGTATCGTTTCGCATCAAATCACTCATTCTAGACTATAGACACTTAAGAGATAAAGTAAAACATGGATTGTAAAACCTCTTCAGGCTTTGGGGCTGTTGAACTACCATGTTACATTCAGTCCCCTTCTCGATTCTCTGCTCTTCGCTCCCTCTCCGCGCGGGTCGCGACCCGCTCTCCAGGCGCTCTTCGAGCAGTTCGAGGCCCAAAAGGTCGCCCTCGCGGACGATGGCCATGTGAGGCCAGACGAAGGAACGGGACGAACCGGACCTTTCGCTCGCGTCCGGGGTGGATCCGGTGAGCTCCGGCCGTCGGTTTAGGCGGGCGGTGTGGCGGAGTCCGGGAGAGCACGGAGAGGTTGGTGGCCAGAGATGCAAAGATCATACGGTGTTGACCACACTTAGGCAATATATAATCAAATCATTTCCTCACAAAGAACTGATCACCAAAAAAGGTTTTGGGTATGTGATGATGTCCCAGACTTAGGGAATGGATCTGAATAGACATGAATAGACATTGAGACTTGGCAAGTCTCAATCTTTTCGTGTAACATGTCGGTCAGGATTCCTCCAATTAAAGCAAAACATCCCTGAAATGCGTTTGAAACGCTACTGTTTGAACCAATCCGTTCATCGAAGACCCTGCAAAGTGTTTCCCTGTCGGCTTCTTTTATTGGTGCACGCGGCTTTGCCTAGGCCTTGGTCCTCATCGGGACGGAAAGTGCTGACCACGGACCAGAACCTTTGGTCGGTGGATGGAATTCATCCCTCCTGCGAAGGCTATCAGACCCTGAGCGAAACAAACATGGTGAAAACACACGTAGGGAGTCGTAGACGGAAAGATGCGGGGACACGGCAGACAGCTCAGGAAACGACGCGAGTCGTCTCGGTGGAAATGGAGGAAGCCTCCCAACGACTGAGCGCCAACGCCCTCCGCTTTGGTCGCTGCCCCGAGAGGTGGTGAAAAGGTCCATTCCACGAAGTCGGAGGTTCGATGGCACAAAGAAACCCCATCAGCGAACTTGGGGGCCATGTGCCGTCGACTTAAGAGAACCAAGAGAAGGGTCATGAAGGGTCTCTATGTCGCGAAAACTCTTGGGGTTGGGTGGTTTCCTGCGGGTTTCGAGGGTGTGTGACCCTCTCAGAGGGGTGTTTTTTCTGTGGTGCCAATCCAAATCAATCTTGACTTCAAACATTATACTGTACTATAGGGTTGCCCCGAAGAAAGATCCACTGTCCACTGGAACATCTCCGATTCAGGAAGATCACCTGCAAGATTCCAAAACGTCTATGTCCTACTATGTTACTATGCCTTCAAATCAGGTAGAGATAGAGCTTAAGCTTGAGCTTTTACTATAAACGTGACCAGTGTTTAAACATCAGCTGGATGTTTTCCACTTCAACGAGTCAAGTGGTTTCGCTGGCGGTTCTAAGGAAAATTGGAGAATGGCTCCTTGGATCGATTGGTGACACTGAGAGACGTGGCCCGTTCGGAATGTGGCGCCACAGGTGTCAATGTGCCACACCCCCGGCATCTGTGCACCCGAGCCACGAACCAATGCCCCGGATGTTGATGTCCCGGATTCTGAGGCACATGGAATCCACCAGTGCTGGAAATCCCACCCTGAAAGCCTCGGGACCGTGGGCTCTTAGAGCGCGAACGGGACCGGCCGCAAAACCCCCAACAGAAAAACAACTGGAGTCCGCACTGCCAACGAGGATGTCCGTTTCACCAAGCATTTGTTCAACACGCCGGTCTTTCGTTTTCAAAAGAAAGACTTCAACTGCTAAGGACCCACGGTATGTTTTCCCTCGGACAGGTGCTACCGCAGTGCTACCTGTTCGAAGTGGTCTTTGTGTACCCAGCCCTGAAGGGTCCACGAAACCACAAAACAGAAAGCGACAGATGCCAGAACTCCAGGACGAACAGATCGGAGGTGGGGCGTTTCTCTCCGTACTGCCGTCCCAAGACCATGAAAAGAGCGGTTTAATTATGGTTTAATGACGTCCTAATGCAGTCGAAGATCCTCACTGAACACAAAAGTCATTCAGGATGACACCGCCTTTTTCAATCGATGAGAAGCGATGTTCTTGGGACTTTACAAACACATGAGCAAGGCAAACAACTTCCCAAGATGAACTAAGTAAAGGCCTTGGGCGTAAGCAAAAACCTGAAAAAGCGCAAGGTTGCGTAAGGGAGATGTGAGACATGCATGTTGACGTGCATGTTGTGAAAGCTGGCCATATGGGTGTGTTTTCATTAGTAGATTCTAGATTCTCACGCCTTGTCAAGAAAGGAACTGTATGGACCATGAGAGCTTGTTTCAACCCTTGGGACATGATATGGCAGTGTGCACAGTGTTTCAGGAAAGTGGCAAAGGATGAACTGAAACCCTGTGTTCGCCGGGCTTCAGCCGGGTGAAGGTGAAGCCGCCGTCCAACTCTTGGAAGCGAGGCTTGCAACGCACCTCGCGCAGATGCACGTGGTGCGAGTGGAGTACAGACACTGGAGGCACGTTTCTGTGCACGTGCTGGGACCTGCTGGGATGTGATGGAGTTATTTTAAGGGAGATCATCTCTGTGATCATCCACTCAGGTACGTGAGAACACCAAAATACGGTGTTGGAATGTAGAAACATTGGGTTGGGACAGGCCCCTCGTCACAAGCAGCCAGGAGAACTCAACTGGTGCTTTCATATACCTCTTGCTTTTTGACACTGCTTGAGAATGACTACCCAAGTTGACTAACCCCTGGCATTCCAAGGGCCCAAGACCATTGTCGTCTAAGATCCTGGGTCAAACATAGTCAAACAAACAATAGCTGCTCGGTGAAAAGCCATCAAATCAATGGTGGGCCAGGACGTAAACGGGTAGTATTTTTGGGGAAGGGTTGAAGCCACCATCCAGTAGATCACTGTTTCTTGGAATCAGCTTCCGCCCCAACGGTTCACAACTGATTGCCATGGGAGATGTTTGCGGTGGACTGCGGGCAACCGGGAAGACCGGTCAGAGAAAGTACAGCTCCACAAAACTCCTGGCTCAAATGGCCAAGACTTTTTGATACTTGTGGTGTTTTGTTCGGAAAAGATGTACATACATTGACGATCTTGGAATTGAGCCAAGAGTTATGAGGGAGGTATGTAGAATCAGGAGTCTCAGGTAAACCCGCAGATTCTTGTATATGCATTAGTTTTTTTGCCAGGCCGTTTCTCAACATGAGCGCATTTCTCAACATGTACACGTTTAGGGTCTGCCCCATTACCTCAGTCAGTAAACAATTACCACTATTTGAGAGAGAGAGGCCTTCACTAACCATCAATCGCCCACTGCTACCAAGACATTTTCCCTTCATTTGGCATATGTCCATGGTTGTTCCAGTGGTTCCGTTCTGACTTCGAAAGACCTGAAAGATCCGAGAGATCATGTCTCAAACACGCCGCTCACACCCGGCACCCGGTGCTAAGACCGGTCTCACCACCACCTTACTCCGATCTCGCCGCGGGGGACGTGACCGTACGGACACGTCGTTCGTACGTACCGGACGTCCGAAGAGACGGTGTGGACCATGTGGCGAACGAAGGGTTTACTTCCTGGTGTTGTAGTGCGCAACTTCCTGGTGTTGTATACGACAAGGCTTCTGAAATCGGTGGGCCTGGAATGCTAGGGGTTGTTTTCGACGGCGCGGCGACTTCTTGCCTTCAGGACACCACGCTGGAGCCTGGTACATCATCATTTGATGCGCTGAGAGCTAGCTGTGGTGTGCCGGAGTCACCAATCAGATTTGGCAGGTATTTGGGATTCTATTTCTATCTATTTCTACTGCTATCCTACCCACAGCATATGTAGACAGTTTTTGTGTTTGGGGGCTGGTCCACGTTCGGTCAGGCTTTGGGAACGCGCCAGCGCGCAACAATTGGCCTAAGCAACAGTGGTTTGAGCAATACTAGAAAAACTGTGGGGACGTTACAGAAGACTTAGTCCATGCAGGCACAAGAATTAAGGTCTATAAGTATAAGTATGGCATGGTTTTTGGTACTTTTTGCTAGAACAATGGTATATGGTCGTGGTCCAGTGATAATGTTCTATGCCAGACCACCTTCTTACAATAGTGGCCAACTTGTGGGTAGTGAAAAGTAGCTTCAAGCTTCATGTAGATTTAAGTCGTAATATAAGTGCCTGTGTAAGTAGCTATGCTTTGTGTTTGCCAGACCTTTCGCACTTATAACTTGCTTCATGACCTCGATCGACTTCAAGACACCCCATAATAGTTCATCCCAGTAGCCAGTGTTTTTGCGGGTGGTTGAAGGGAATCAACTTGGAACCATCTCTGGCCGTGGGATTGAAAGTTGCCTCCCAGGCTTCCTGGTTTGGACTTGGAACGTTCTGAGTTTGTGTTTGTTTTTCCTAGGTGTGCCCCAGTACTACTAACAGTCGGTGAAATATTAGCAGATTATCACATATGATTAGGGTCTGTCCTATTACCTGCAACAGTCAGTAAACAACTATCAATACTTTTGGAGAAGGCCTTTACTAACCATCATCATCCACTGTTACAGGTAATAAGATAGACCCAACATATGATCACTATTCTTGAGATGTTTGCCTGCAACGAGGTCCCATCATCATCCACTGTTCGTTGTTTGTGTTGAAACTCTCACGGTTGATTGCGTGGCAGCGTTTTCAATACCAATGACAGCCTTCATGATGCCGTGCGTTTGTCACGCTCTCACAGAATAGTAAAAGGACTTGCAGAAACTCAACATATTTGGGCTGGAAGAAGGTTTATGTGTCTTCCCCCGCCAGCGCGAGAAACCTCAATCCGATGCAAGTGAGGAGAAGTGGGGTTGGGCTTTCCATAGTTCTGAAAAGGGGTGCAGGTTGTAGCCCTATGAACCCAACTGAGCCAGAGAAGCAAAGATTAAGTTTCTGGATGACCCATACCAACTTGTTGAATAGCGGTGGAACAACTGTGAACAAATGTGAACAACCTGAAGTCTGCATCGAAACAGATGAGAGTTCAAGATGCCCCAGTGTCAAAGGTGGTGTTTGCAGCATGAATTGCCAAATTTCAACCACGAGGTGCAGAGTGGCTATATGTTTGTTCGGATGGGGGCCAGTAAGTATAAGATTCATTGCTGGCCTTCATGTCTTTCACACCACCTGCTAGGCCTCCACATTAACACCTTCACGGACCTTCACGTTTTCCACTGGCGACGGGAGCGACCCTTTTGCGAGCCAAATCCAGAACAATTCAACGTTGACATGCCGAGATAGTTGCACAAGGTTGCACTCTTTTTTCCTTGTCGCGTCGACGATCTGAATTCACGATCGCACGGTCGCCTCAGGCAGTGCCAGCAAAAGTTCAGATGAACTAGGTGGTTCATCCTGCCTTCAGTGACGTGTTGGGTGAATAGTTAGCGTTACCCCATGTTTTAGTAATTAGATATAGTTATAATTAGTTTGATTTAGTTTATCATGTTTACAACCTTGGATGTTGGGCAGGCCTTCTTCCAGCATTGGGTAAGTGCATCACTCCATCACAATAGATCACAGTGGGGACCCTTTGTGCTTTTGCCTCGCATGAAAAGATAGCAGCGAAGGAACCTGGCAGGCTTCATGCTCACCGTGTTTCACGGGGAACCAGCGCTTCACTGTGCTTCACCGACAAATCAGCAAGAATTCAGGGAGAACGAACTCGCCCATGCTCGCCTGAAAGGGCTCTTCCAGGGACACCCAGAAAGTCAGCCATGCCAGACGTGTGAATGCACGTGATTCGTGATGAAGAAAGTCACCCCTCACGTGATGAAGAAAAAAAGCACGTGATCGCCCCCACCTGTGGGAGGACCAGATCCTGTTCCGAAGGACGGCCCACGGTTCGTTCGTGTCGAGTTCGAGGGTCCAAGCTTCACACATCCAGAAAGCACGCACGCACAAGCACACGGTCCACCGTCATGTGGACTCTTGTGAATAGCCTCTCCATATGGGGTCTACAGCTGGTGCATCAGTCTTGGTGTACCGCGATGTTATACCGTCAGTCCTGGTGCATACAGATGGTATACCGTCATGTGGACTCTTGATTCATCAGTCTACAGCTGGTGCAAACCGTGATGCCAACATCCGATGTTGGTGTGCTGGCGAGACCGGGGTACCGTGCTGCCGCGTGCTGCGCGGGAACGCTGCGCGGGAACGGGGGGGGCCGAAAGTTCTCAGCGACGCTTGTTGGGTTTATCCCAGAGTGTGATCAGTTAAAACATCTTGAAACCACTTCTTAAAGGCGGTCACTCCCATGGTTACAGATGGTGACTTCTTTTTTGCACAGAAGTTAGCTTATTCCGACCTTTTGTTCCTGAAATCCGTCAGAGATGGTCAATTCATCCGCTTTGAATGAGGTTCACGCCATGATCTGGGCGCTTCTTGAACCAAAAACATCAAAAACAATCATGCAAAACCCGTCTATATCTTGGGTTTGGCCTGGGGCAGAGATGATTCCCCAGAACTGGCCTTCTCAAAAAAGTAGTTAGACCACCCATCCATCCACCTCAACCATCTTCTCAGGTACTTGGAGCACGTTTGGGAGGGTCATGTGGGTGCCATGGCCAGGCGCCCCCAAAAGGCAGAACATGTTCAGACCGAACCGGTGATGCACTCCCCTTCCGAGATCGGGAGAGCAGTGTAAGCACTACCAGATACGAACAAAAAGCGCTCGAGTTTTCCTCGGAGAGTAGCATGTAGAGAAAGGACTCGAGCTTCACGCTGCCCGGCCCGAGCGATCCGAACGACCCCCCGTAGCCGAACGCGCACCTGAACAGGACCGACCTCGCTTCGACCGGGTGCCGAGCAATGCGAAGTTCGACGATTCCAGGCAGCGACTTCTTCTCGTCCAAAGGGCGAGGTGGGAGTCTTTGCGAACTTTTTGCTGGTCATTCCGGGATAAGCAGCTCAGCTCGATCATAGCAGACCGGAAGTGCAAAGGGCCAAGTCCTGGAGGTCGGGTGCTACAAAACATCCAAAGACATGGTGAAGTACATGGTGATTTGCTCATTTCGGAGTGGGAAGGGCAAGATCCTTCACATAGAGTGAGCAATTTCTGTAGAGAACCGACATGGAAAGACATGGTGTTGTGAAAGCCGCAAAGGATCAGCATTGGTATGAATTCGTCACACATTCCCGGTTTTCGATATGCAACTGCCCGCATATGCGAGATTGCGGTATGAAACTGCTTTCAGAAACAGGGGCCTTCTGTAAACCACGGTGGCTTTCATCGTTTTCAGGAACCCGTTTCTTGCCGGAACGAGCAGCGATCAAACCCAATGGGAGGATGTTGATGGCACCATTTCTTGCCGGGAAACACGGTTCTTTACAGGTTCAGTGGTCCTGCTCCTCCACCAGCCAGAAGCTAGCTTTCTATGCTTTGTCCGTCCTCGGATTCCCTCCAAACTTCATTCCCTTGAGCATGGCTGTGGTAACTCTTCACTTTTCCTTTCCGTGTTATTTTTCTTTTCTTCCTTTCAATTTCAAGGTTGTTGTTCTTTTCTTGTCATTTTTCTTTAGACCTTTCATCCCTTTTCCGATCGCATCAAAAACCACCCCACATGAAGCTTGGAATCGCTTTGCAAAGACTCGCTCGACTCGGTGCTCCGGCGCGTTCTCCTCGTCGGCGTCACGGAATTTTCCCGAGCCCAGGTACCATGCCAGAAAGCAAGCATAAACATATAACGAAGAACAGTGGACAATCTGTAAAGACTGGTGTTGGCGCTTATTGACTCTACTAATTGAACTTCACTATATGATATCTCTGTGAATTTCACATTTGGGCCACACACGGTCCTTCACTCGAGGACCTGAAAGCTCAGTCACACGGACCAATTCTCATCAACACCGGGAGGTCTAGAGGTGTTTGATCCATCCCAACCAGGTGCAGGAGAGGTGTTCCTTCAACCATCCTTCCAGGGTTGAGGTCTTATTACTTGTGACATGACTTGAGACGCCCAACGTCTGGGAAGTCAGAGCACGCAAGGAGACGCATCATGACACGTTGCAACTTGAAACAACCAACTTTTCACTGCACCTCTCGTTGGGGGGGCAGGTGGCGGCAGCCGTTGGGGTCCAATCGAAAGGATACCGAAGTCCAGTCTCATGCAGATTTGATGCTCCCATGGGGGTCATGAGCCAAGCACAGGACAGAGCGCCGGAGGAAGATTGCCTGCAGCAAGGGAGTTTGGAGTAGATGAAGGAGATAATGTAGACAACACACACACACACACCCCAGCACTTGTCAAGCAATCTTGGAAAGGAGGGTGATCAGCTTGGGGAGGGTATCCAATGCAGGAAAAAGATGCAAACGCATCAAGGTGTGTTACTGAGGTTCTTGTCACGAATCCCTGGCAGGAGAATTGAGAATGGTACTAAGGCTCTTTGTACAGCGAGGCTCTCTAGGCTAGAGCCTTTCTCGAACCAACCTGCTCGACTTACTTCTTCGCCATGTTCACGATCTGTGGGAGGTCCAGGGCACCGTCTGGCGATAGGACCATTGGATACAATCGCCACTTCTGACGGGCGATCCTGTAGATCACCACGTGGGAGGGTCAATGAGAAATCTATCAGCTTTCCTTGGAATGCTGGGAGGTTACTGTATGCTTCCTCAGACCGTCCATGTATAGAAATGGTACTCACAGTACATATGCATTTACCCCATTTATGACCCTATAATGTAAGAGTATATAAGAAGCTATTCCATACATGGAG